AATTTTATTGTGCATTGTCATAAACGGGATATTGCTGGAAAGGAATTTTTTTCTCTATCTGTGAGTACCAAATTTAAAAATCAGATCTGTATTGTGTAATCGATGGCTGACTGGAAGTGCATACTTGTGAAACAATGCATGTTTTATGCATTCACCACATAAGTTATTTTGTTGCATAAGTTAATTACTATATACATGTACTGACAGACTTCATTTAACCGTTTTTAAGAGTAATTTCGATCATTATTGATCTAATTTTACATTTTTGTTTTCCATTTGTAGGTATTGTCAAGGATCTCAAGTTCATTTTAGAGGGCGGAGTTGACGCCTTGTCTTCACATTTACATGAATAAACATTAAAGGAAAGGCACACATGATATTGAGATAATTTTACAAATATTTAATGGACTTGTATGTGCCTCAGGTTGGGAAGAGGTCATCGTGGGGGGCGGAGTTATGCGTCCCATCTAATATGGCGTTTTGGCCTTTTGTCACTTCATTTAACCGTTTTTAAGAGTAGTTTCGATCATTATTGATCTAATTTTGCATTTTTGTGTTCCATTTGTAGGTATCGTCAAGGATCTCAAGTCCATTTTAGAGGGCGGAGTTGACGCCTTGTCTTCAAATTTACATGAATGAACATTAAAGGTAAAGCACACATGATATTGAGACAATTTTACAAACATTTAATGGACTTGTATGTGCCTCAGGTTCAGAAGAGGTCATCGTGGGGGGCGGAGTCATGTGTCCCATCTAATATGGCAATTACGCCTTTTGTCACTTCATTTAACCGTTTTTAAGAGTAATTTCGATCATTATTGATCTAATTTTACATTTTTGTGTTCCATTTGTAGGTACCATCAAGGATCTCAAGTCCATTTTAGAGGGCGGAGTTGACGCCTTGTCTTCAAATTTACATGAATGAACATTAAAGGTATGGCACACATGATATTGAGATAACTTTACAAATATTTAATGGACTTGTATGTGCCGCTCGTTGAGAAGAGGTCATCATGGGGGGTGGAGTCACTTACTGATTCAGAGAGAGAGGATAGGGTAAGCAAGTCAAAAGACTCATACTGAGGAATAAGGGGATCAGGATTGCAGGTATGGAGGGAAACAGAAAGTTTAGAGAGAGAGAAGCATGATCCAACGAGGGTAGTCTCCATCTGAGCATCTCTGAGAGAATGGAGGAGAGACAGGGTGTGACTAATTCCAGAAATAGTGCTGGAGAGGACAGTGGAGGTGTAGGAGGAGGGGCCAATAGGGAAACCTAAAGGAACAAAACCACCTGTGGAGAAAGGAATTTCTGGAGGTAAAGGGTTAGCTGGAAGGACTAGGTTCGAAGGGAGGGAAAGAAGACATTTAGCCTGTTAAGATAAAGTCCCATAGGAGGACCCATAGAGTCAATAATGCTCAGGGCCTGTTGGAGACGATTAATGTCCCCAGATAAGATACCATTATTGTTATTATTATTATGAGAGTGAGAAAGGAATATTATTATTATTTTTAGTTTTATTTATTTATTATTATTATTATTATTATTATTATTGTTATTATTATTATTTATTATTATCATTATTTTTATTTGTTATTATTATTATTATTATTATTTTTTTTTTATTATTATTATTATTTTATTATTATTATTATTTTATTATTATTATTATTA